TTTGTACACCTTTTTAACAGTTTCCATTGCAGTACCATCCTCATCATCACTAACCCTCTGCTGAAACTGCAACTGTCAAAATGGTTCTTTATGTGTTTTATTTGTTTTCTGGCCTGTTGATCAGTTCCAACACACTCCCTCAGAAACAGCCACTCAACTCCCATTCCTTTCCCATCTCATTGGGCGTTTATACATGTGGTCTAGGGGGAGGGGGAGGAGCTTTAGTTAAAATGCCCCTACTGCAATTTTTAAGGATGGGGACACTGGTACATGACACGCTGGAGTCTGGAGTGCAATAATTACCACGCTCCAGCAGACTCGATTAATCAAGCCTGCTTCAACGTTCTGTAATTACAGTGCATCAACTCATGTATAAGTGCCAATTGATTTTATGATATTTTGCAACTAAGTTCCAGCACCTAGGAAGTAGTGTGACTTTTTCTAATCTGCTCATTTAGAACTTTTATAGGAAGAATTGCATAGAGTTTTTGGTCATCTTTTGTTTCTTTGTGTTAGCACTGTAAGTCTACTAACCTCTCTGTCTCTTTAAATCAGTGTCCTCAGCTGGATCATCTTTGAGAGGTATTGACATCTTTAACAAGACTGACATAAATCAGCAAACATACAAGATTCTTATATAGCTGCTATGGCACACTGATGCAGCTGAAAGGATGGAGAGAGAGAAAGGTGCTTTAGGACAGGGAGTTGAAAAGAGAGCGTGTTTAAGAAGAGGCATGAGAATATAACGAAGCTCCTCAAGCAGCAGACATCCTCCAAAAAGTTGTGGAACCTCATGCCCCATGGCCCATCTACTTCGTCCTATGGAAATACCATTTGCAAGGAACTGAACACCCTGTCCAACCCAGAGAGGGCAGTACCACCATCCTCAACCATACTTCCAAGATAGAACTGCAAGAACTGTAGGCAAACTTGGAGTCCTCTCCCTGAGAACTACATGTTTACTACAGTAGTCTTTAAGCCATGCACTACTAAGTTTTACTGTTCTCAGTATTTAAATGCCACTTAAATGGGTTTTACTATCATATATGGTCTGCTGAAATGTTTTTGCATGATGTTTGATTTGTTTGCACTGAATGAAAACACTGAACGAATCTTGCTCATTACACAAATAAAATCTTTATTTAATTGTTAAATTTCTTTCTCGGTTCAAAACTCATAGCCAATAAAATGGAAGCGCTAAATGACCACCCCACTCAGCCTTTTAAAAAGGCAAAACTGCCTTTAAAAAAAAAAAAAGTGTGGTCATACTTCTGGACACATCACTGCAATATTTTCTTAAGCCTTTACTCAGCTGAACAGTGGGCTATAGATAATTCCCTTGTATCTATCTAGCTGTTTGAATTCAGCAATCTATCCACCTCTACCTACCATCCTGTTGACAAGGCTGCCCCTTTTGCTTAGCAAATAGTAGGCAGCTTACAGCAGTCAGCAACAATAATGGGGAAGTTTGGCTTGGTATTCCTGGCAGCTTTTCTAATGTCCAAAAGCACATTTGACAGTCATTGTACACCTGTGTAACATCAGCTCTTCCAGATTGCCTGTATATGCCTTTGAGCCATGGGAGCAGTGAGTATACTATGTCCCCAAAAGGAGTTATTGACATTTCAACTGTGGCAATAGGATTGTGATATATAGGGTAGATTGTCCCTTCTTGAAGCTTCTGGGACAGGCTTGTGTTCCTGAATATACAAAGGTTATGTACTTTCCCTCATCAGCCAGCATTAATGTCTTGGCTACTCTGTGATCTCAGTGTCTGCATAACTAGAGAAAAAGTATCCCCTCTCCATAATGCACAATTTGGAATGTACATCCTTTCTATTTTCTTCTCCTGGTTTGGGAAGCCCATTGCTTTCTGTTGTTTCCTGCAACTTATCTAAAGTCATGACCCCTCTGTAGGAGAACATAGTTAATGGTTCTGTACACATTAATGACCCAGGCTGACTTTCCACTGATTAATATGTCTGGTATTACAACCTTCCATGCTGATCTCCACCTGCTTTCTCGCAGTGAGAATAGGTTTTATTCTTGTACCTTTGCACTGAAGAAGTAGTGCAAGTTTGGAATGCAACTTCAGAAACATGGCCTTCCATGTTCAGAAGTTTTGTAGCCAGTGCAGTTCGTCAGATCTTCAGCACAGTGCAATCCTGATTCAGAACTAGTTTCTGAAGCCCAGAAATGACTGTTCAGGTCCATGAACAGCTGTGAAGTCACCTGTGACTTTCTGTGTACTCTGCTAGCATTGATTGTTTGACCTCAGATATTTCTGAAGCATCTTCATTGCACAAAACCGTGCTATTTAAATTACAGCAGTATAGAAGAAACATACAACCTGTTCATGGGTCTTTCAGGCAGTCCCGTAGCCTCTTTAGTTCCAGATTGATGGTGGGGCTAGAAGCATGAAGAATTATGAAACTTTAAGCTGTGGAAACTAAATGTATCACATAGAAAAAATGGACTTGTAAAACGTTGGCACTGGATGCCAGAATTCCTTTGTTATAACATCAACATCTGATAATGCATTGCATCAGAAAGTGGTGCTGGGTGCCACTGCATAATATATTTCACTTATGGATTGTGTAGCTGCCAAAGGCTGTTCACACTCCCTGCAGTGCAGTAGTCAGCTGCTGCCCCCAACAAAACTTTCTAGGGTCCACATGGCCTTAGGACAAAGCCTCTAAGGGTGTAAAGTGGTTGGGGAGATGAAATGCAAGCTGCTCACACATTCCATCTGTACACACATTGAGTAACAAGGAACTTTGCGCCCTGAGTAGTGGCAGTAGTAGCAGCCTCCCTTCTTGCGCCCCCTCCAAATTGACACCTGAAGCTCATGCCCTGCTTGCCCATATCTCTGAATGCTACTGCCAACCAGGGCTGCTGTATGGTCTTCCAACCTTCTGGTAAAGACAGTGACTACAAAATAGGGATCTTTCTTCATTTTATGAAGTTTGCTTCAGCAGACCACTTGAGTAATTACAAACACTTTTCATTTTTAAATGGAAGATTGACCATTTCTTCTCACCATTTAATGAAGATGACTTGATTACTTGGGCCAGATTCCAAATTGGGTAATTATAGTCTGCCTATTTAAAATTCCCCTTATTGTGACAAGTAGAATGATGCAGTTGTTTTGCTGGTAGCTGTGGAAACAGTTCCTAGATTTCTTTCCACATGTGGGTATGTTTCAATAATGGACCATGTAGTTTCTAAATATAGTACCTTACTTTTAAAATAGCTTAGGGATTCATCTGAATAAAAATGTAGTTCATAAATTAAGCTTTCTTCATTAATTATTACTCTGCAGCCTAGAGCATAAAGTTGCATATGTCGCTTCTTTCTCGCATAGAAAATGTTTACATCCTTCTGAACTATTAATGCACTGTCTAACCTTGTGAAAGGTGCAGGCTTTTTCAGATGTGTTCTGACTTATCTCAGTTATCGACACTGTCCATCTCAGCAGATTTTAGAATTGATTTATGCACTCATAGGAGTTTCAAGAACTTAAAACCTGTATAAGTGAACTGGTATTGGAGAGGGCTTCCCTAGATTCATTTTTAATGCTTTATTTTCTTTACAGAAATACCACAGATGAGACCAAAGCCCCACTACATAATGATAAAGAAAGATGCGGAAACCAATGAAGCAATATATTGCACAAAAGAACCTTTCCTTAAGGCTCGTGTTATTGTCATTCGATGGTTGGTGTCTTTCTGGCTTGAGCCAAAACCTCATGCTGGACCTCATATTCCTGGAGTGGAAGGTGAAAATGTGCCAAAGAATATTCAGGTATCACTAAACATACATTTCAAGTGGTTTTTATACATTTTGAAGTTGGCTGATTGATTTATTGAAATCTCAATGCTGAGATATTTAACCAACATAAGGTCCTTTTATAACTTTAACTAACAAAAGACGAGAGATTTAGGAGAGTCTCCAGACCTGAATCCAATTTCGAAGGGTGTGCTTAATATTTAAATATTGTTTTGTTTTTGTACCAGAGTGAAAACATAAAATGTTACTTCCATTTATGTTAATAAAAAAACTGCTTAGAACAGTACATTTTTGGTGAATTGCTAGAATACGTTTAGGCCAGGAGCTGACATTACATTTTTCCCAGGACCAGTTGTACCTGTGTTTGTCCCGAAAGAAAAACGTCCTGAAATTTGGCATGTGCACACTTCACTTTTTCAGCCAGGGTTTAATGAGTGGCTGAATGCACTGCCACTTTTCTGCCACTGATTCAATGATTTCGTCCCAGGACAACTATTCAGATGTACTTTGCAGGACAAAATGTTTTAGCACTCCTTATCCCATGAACTTTTTTAGGGTTTGTCCCAGGATAACAGACATGAACATTTGAACCAATCATACTTTATCCTGGGAGAAAATTTTCTTCTGGAATAGATACAACACCTGTTCATAGCCCTACAGGAGTGGTTCACAGCCTTTTTGGACTCGGCACCTATCCATATCTGCTGTGAACTGAGCAGCACCCAATGCCAAAAAAAAATTACATATTATAGTGTAAGCACCCAAGTGGGGGTGGGGGGGATCAGCAAGGCAGGGACAAGTCTGAGCCTGTACTTACCTGCTTATCTCCTCACACTTTGCCTATGTCCTCATAACTTCACATCACCCTTCAAAGGATCTGGTTGTACTGAAATCACTGCCTTACAGTAACAAGTTTCACTTGTGTAGTGTAATGCTCTTAATTTAATTTAGTACCCAGTCCAGGAATTCAGTTTCCATTTGATTTTAGTGGGACTGTGCACAAAAGTGTGCAAGATCAGGTCTTTTGTGATATCTCGGAAAACTCCAATAAATAACTGTCACATTAAAAATTAGCAAATTGAAGGACCCACAGATTTGAATAGAAGTCTGTTCTAACTAGATAATAACCTGACTTCCTTTCAATCTGAAATCTAGTCTTTAATGGGTTTCATGGTTACAGTTTTCCTGTATTTGTTACTGCAAGGTTGTCACACTCATCAGGCCCTGTGGGCTGAATTTATGGCATGGGGCTGGTCCTTTAGGCCATATCAGGCCCACGCACTAGCCCTGCACATCAGATGCAGCTCATGGAATGAGCCATGTGCTAGGGTTCATATCAAGACCCACGGCTGGATGATAGGGTTCCACAGGCCAGATCTTTGAATTACTAGATAAGGGAAGTTTTGATGTCTAGTATGGGTATAATGACATGACAAATGTATTATGACAGGCACCTTCAAATACACTACAGAGCTTTGGATACGTACCTTTTCAAGCAGAAGCCGTGTAGCTGTGTTGGCAGCGTGCTACCAGCAGATTAATTAGTACTCCTAATTAGTATGATACTTAGCCTTCTTCATAAGGTAGTACAGACAGGCTTCACTGTTTGGGATGGTGGTTCAAAGAGCAGTATGGCATGGTAAGCTTGCGGTTGTAGCCATGCTGTATTTCTTAGTTTGTTTGTGGAATTTGTTCTGTGTTTTAACAATTGTCTTATATTGCTGGAATTAATTTTACTTTTTGTTTTTCATTTTGCTTTCAGAGAGCAGCTGCTAGCATGGCTTCAAGGGAAGACAGCAAAAATGACAATGGTGATAGACAAGATAGAAATGCAGAACCAGAACAATCTCATTCTAATACTAGCACCCTGACAGAAAGAGAGCCAAGTTCCTCTAGCCTCTGCAGTATGGATGAAGAACACCTAACTGATATTGAAATAGTCCGTAAAGTCTTTTCTTCTAAAAGAAATAATGTTAACTTTCTTATTGAGATATTTCGACAGGTAAATAACCCATCAGTGCATGTTTTTGTTTAAGTATAACTCTAATCCCATTACAGCTTTAAATTCATTCTGTGCTGAGCAGCACACTTTTCAATGCAACAAAATATTTTATTGTCCTTTTCACTATTTATATTGAATTTATATTTAGGAATGTGGAAAAATTGTTGCTTTAGATTAGTAAAGTTTGACATCTCTCTTTTTACCTCTTTCATGCCTTCATGAATTCAAAAGGAAAAAATACTTTATAATAATGAATATAAAAATCTTTGTTTCTGCTTCCTGGATTTGTTATAATTCCAGGAACATTTAACTTTAAGTGTAATTTTGACAGAATACGTTGGTCTGTTGTAGCAATATGCATGTGTGACGTTAACCTTTAACTGTGGATGAACAGGGTTAAAAGTTGGAGTGATTTTTGCAGGGGTTTTGCTACATTTGTATCACTACAGGTTGGTGCTATACTGAATTGTTACAGTGTGCATGGTCTGTAGCAGCGGGCAACAGCTTCCCCCCAGCAATTTGAAACCACTCCAAGTGATCATTTGTCCATGTTCTTTATTAACACAGTGGTGACGTAGTGTTACTTCCTGAAGTGGATGGTATCTTTCAGCAAGCTGACTTCCGAATGTACTTTTTTTTCAAGGCTGTAAATCTGAAGAAAAGGTTTTACTTTCAGTTCTGCAACTCTTAGAATTTCATTTTAATGACAGTAGAACAAATGCTTATTTGTTATATTATTTGAATTGATGATTAAGAACCCTATTACCCACTACTCTTACAATTTCTACACAGAGAATGGGATGCAGCAGAATCTCCTGTTCAGCTTTTTCTTTCTTCTGATGAGGGTTTGTGATAAGGCTTTTTTTTATAGATCCTCACCCTGCTAGCCTTTTCTGAGATGCTTCAAATGTGTCTTTTGTAGCATATTGATATAATATAGCAATAGATATATCTGTAATTGTTTGCTACTAGCATTAGAGTGAGGATTGAGCAGTTTGGTTCTAACTTGTCTCCCAATAGTAAAATTGTGTGATTTTTTTTGCTTTTGTTTGGGTTTTTTCCTACTAGGCATTTTTGTTGCCTATTTGTGAAGCAGCTGCCATGAGGAAAGTGGTGAAAGTATACCAGGAGTGGATACAACAGGAAGATAAACCTTTATTTATGAAAGAACCTGAAGAAATAATGCAGTCTACAAATATAGATTGTGATGAAAATGTTGCAGAGCATAATTCAGTAGAGACCGCAAAAGAGAGAGAGGAGGTAAAAAAAAAAAAAAAAACCAAAAAAAAAAAAAAAAAAAAAACACTTTAAAGTTTAAAAGACTTTTTTTTAAAGTTCCCAAACCCTTTTAAAACAGGCACTTCATTTAGCAGTCTGGTTGTCTAGAGATTAAGGACAATCAATGAAAGGAATCATTGAAATACACTTCTATGCCTTTTTATAATTTTTATCCTCAAGTGTGACTAAATAGAGCCACAGCATATCATAGTGGCTGTGGTGCTATTTCTTTCAGTCCGTGCCATCACCTCACATTTTTGTCCCATTTAGGTTGGTTATGCATTATTGTAGGCAAAAAGGGCTAGTTTTATAACTGATTTTTAGGGGCAGAAACTAATTTAAAACAGGGCTGTTCTGTAGTTTTCTTATTTCATATTTAACTTTAAGTGTGAGAGTTTTCACAAGTAGAAATGCAGGTTAAGCCCCCAGATTCCATGTATTTCTGCACCCCCTCCCAAGCAGAAGTTGGGCATTTAATTTCTCCTGTACCTTTTGAAAATCTAACCCTAGCTCTCTGGTTAGAATGGTGGAACTTGTTTTGACAGCGCATATATATTCTGATAGAATTTGACACTGTACTCATCCACCCATCACAAGCTTCCTAAAAGAAAATTCCCTAGTCTGGGAGTTTATATGCATTTTTTAACTGAAGGTGTTCAGAACCTCAGTCACTTATGCTTTGTAGACTTTATAGTGAGCGGTACCTGCACAACCTTTATGAAACCCCTCATTGTTCGTCATGCTCCAGGTTCTGAGACTGAGCCTATTGGTTAACATAGCAGGCATTTAGGACAGTTGGTGTGGCCATCTACAGTGTACATTGCCTAGTCATATGAGAGGCAGAGTGAGGAGAAAAATGATGCCTCATTCAACGTGTGTTAAGTCAGATGGTACAGACCCAAATGTAAACTGTTTTCCCAAAAGAATAAAGAAAAACAGAATGGGGAGAACTATAAAAACTGGATCAAAACAATAACTAAAATCAAGAAAGAATAGTTTACAGAAAACAATACATTTAGTGCCAGAGCTGTATTCTAGTGCAAACAGCAGAAGTCTGTCTCAAGTCAAAGGCAGTTGAGAGGAATTAAGTAGAAGTGCATGCTACTTTTATATCCTTTGTGCAAAGCACAAGCAAGGACAAGGACTTATCAGCCAATGAGGACAAGCCAAGTATGAGCCAACAGTGTACTCTTGTTTCATAAAAAGTCAACAGTATAGTGGGTTGTCTTAACATGAGTGTCACTTGTGAATCAAGGGAAATGATTCTTTTAGTCTGTTCGGCACTTGTGAGGCCTCACTTGGAGTACTGTATCCGGTTTTGGGCCCCAGGGTTCAAGAAAGATGTAGATACACTGGAAAGAGGCCAGCAGAGAGTGACACAATTTATTAGATGCCTGGGAAGCCTGACTTATAATGGAAGGCTGAAAGATCTAGGGTTATTTAGTCTAGAGAAGAGCAGACTGAGTGGGGATTTAATTATTGCCCTTCAGGTATTTGAAGATTGATATAGAGGGGATGGAAATAGACTATTCTCTATGGTCACAGGAGACTAGACTAGAATCAATGACCTCAAGTTGCAGCAGAGGAAATTTAGTTTAGAGATTAGGAGGAACTTTCTCATTATGAGGTTGGTCAAGCATTGGAATAGACTGCCAAGACAAGCTGTGGAATCTCCATACCTGGACATTTTCAAGAGCAGGTTAGATAAATATTTGGCTGGGATGTCTTAGTCAGTGAGTTCCTGTCCTGCACAGAGGGGCCGCATTAGGTGGCCTGGCATTCCCCCCCCCCCCCCCCTTCTCAGGCAACATCACTGAAGGGGCAGCAGCCAGGAACATTTTGGGCATTTATACACATGCTCCAGGAGGGGGGGGCAGAGGGGGGTGCTTTAATTAGAGTGGCACTGAGCGCCACTCTAATTTAAAGCACCTGGAGCATCATGTATCAGCATCCCCATGCTGAAAAATGGTGGTGGGGGCACTTCAACTAAAGCTTGTTCAATGAACTTTAGTTAAAGTGCCCCTGCTGCCATTTTTCAGTGTGAGTACACTGATACATGTGATTCTGGAGTCTGCTGGAGCACAGTAATTACCATGTTCCAGCAGATTTGATTAATTGAGTCTGCTCTGATGCACTGTAATTACAGCACATTGGAGCAACCATGCCTATAGGTGCCAGAGGCAAGTAAGAATTCCACCCTCTGCCCTCTTACCCTCCTTGCCAGGTGGCACTTCCCATCCATCACTGCCATTGTCTCCGACTGTTCTGGGGGTACAGACAGGATAAAGGCCAAGAACCTCCAGACCCACTTCTGCCTACTCCAGCTGGGCTCTACGCAAAGCTGGGATTAGCCAGTAAGAGCAGTAACAGCAGACATGTCTCTTCTCCCTTCTCAGTCCCCTGAGTGTTCCCTGACAGCCAGAGAGCAGGTGCAGGGGAAGGTGAGCCTGGCTCCATATGCAGCCTGGCTGGAGCAGGGAGGAATGGCTTTGGAGCTCCACTATCCCACCTTGCTGCTGGCAGTGTTGGCAAAGGGGAGAGGAAGGGAGAGAATGTACCACTAAGCAAGGGAGGGAGGGAAGATTCTTACCTGTTTGAGGGACTTTAAAAATTAAAGTTCCTCAATGCTGCTCCAGTGGTGCAATCTGCCTGGTGTGATGGGGAGAGGTGGGGAGCCCAGGGTGCAACCACCCCTGCAGTGCAAGTCACCTCCCCTTTCCAAAATTCTGGATCTGTTCATGTGCTAAGGTCAGAACATTCTGAGTTATAAGTGCCTGAGATATATATATGCATTAACAGTGGAATGTGCCTGTGGGCAATACTTGAAGAAATTACAAGTTTTTTTCAGTAACTAGCCACACTGTTGAAAGATGGTTGAAGTTGATCTGTTCTATTTTAATTCCATTCAGTGTAAATGTAAGCATAGTAGCATTTATATTGGAAAAATATTGTTGCATATCTTGGAGGCAGTGTGAGGCGCACAGGCTGAAGGCTAGATGCTCCAAAGCCAAGTCCTGTACCACTTAAGCCAATGGCAAAAACTCCTATTTACTTTAGTCAGAACAGGATCAGGTAGGTCCTTAATGATTTAAAATATGCACTAGTTGCATATTAATATGGTACCTGGTGTGGCTTTTAGCATATGGTCTTCAATGTAAGTTAATTTTAAACTTTTTAGTGTTTGCTGTACAGATGTTAACAGTCTTCTTTCCTTTCAAATCATATTGATCATTCTACTGATCAAGCTATCTTGTCGTCTTCAGTTTTTTTCTCTGTTATCTATTCCTGGGAGTATTGTATTCTCTAATTTCACAGCCCTGCAGACTGTTTTTAGGCCTAGAAGTGCCTGCTTTTTCTACAGACCTGAAGAAAAATGCACTGCCTACAAAAACTCTCTAAGCCTATCCCAGCTATGCAGCTGGTCCAATATAGGATACTAACCACAAAAATTCTTTTTTCTCACAAACTTTAAATATATATTTTCAAAAATTAATTTAAGGGGTGACTTGCTGAATTTATAAATTCTCCATATGAAAAACAGTTCCAAAAGATGATGAGGAAAAGTAGTAAACAAAAACTGAGGGAAAGTTTTTCTCCAAATACTTTAAATATTTACATTTGAGCCAGCCTGCACTTTCAGTAGTCATTTTCAGTTCTTTCTTTAAAAAATAAAATAAACAAAAAGCCTACCAAAAACAAAGCTTGTGTAATTTTTATTTGCACTTGTTTCTCTATGGGAGTTTAAGAAACACTTTTTATGCTTCAGGAAAAAACGACAAATTCTAGTCACATCCAGAATTCAAGTTGGACAAGAAATGGCTGCTATCAAAATAAAATATCCGAAGTAGATATTGAAGAGCAAAGTGTACGAGCGGGAATGCAGTCAGTATTGCAGGTATGGAATGCACTTATTTCATAATTTTATATTCTTACTTTAAAGCATTTTTTCTTTAACATTGCTTAAATAAAAGTATTAAAGGAATACAACAGAATTATGTTACAGAATGAGTCGCCAGATTTTCCATAACATTGTAGATTTGCTAGATTGGTTGCAGATTTGATTAGTAACGTATGGAGAGTAACTTTATCTCTAGACCAGTGGTCTCCAACCTTTTTATGGTGAAGATCACTTTTTATAAGTAAAGGGCACCCCAGAATCTACCACGCCTTCCCCCTGCCTCCCGGACAAGCCGCCCAGGCTCTGATCCCACTCACCCAGCCTGGCCCGGGCGGCAGGGGGCATGGCTCAGCCTAGCTGCATGCGTCCTGCCACGGAGCCTCTGATGGACTGAGATTGGCTGTCAGAGATTCCACAATGGACCAGTCAGTCGAGATAGACTGGTTGGTGACCACTGCTCTAGACCAAGCACATGCGGTAGCATAATACCGAGTCAGAGAGAAACACTTAAGAGCATATTTCCTTATTTTTAACCATAGCTATTAACACTTTATTTACATTTTAATTTCAGTGTTTTATGAAATACAAGGACTGTAGGATTTTGGATGGCTACTTTTAATAAGAAATAGCTTGTATAACACTATTCCTTCAATGGAATCGAAGGATGAGGAAGTAGAATGATTGTGGGTTAGGTTACATGGGGGGCAAGGAGAAAGGGATTTGGTGGTAGGGGTCTGCTACAGACCCCCACACCAAGGGGAAGAACTAGATTCGGGGCTCCTGAGGCAGCTCTCGGAGACCATAAAAGCTAAGGAGGCGGTAGTCATGGGGGACCTAAACTACCCAGACATCTGCTGGGAGATGCAGACAGCAAAGTCCCACCATTCACGCAGGTTTCTAACCTGTGTACAGGACCTCCACCTGACACAGGAGGTACACGGTCCCACTAGGGGGAATGCCTTACTGGATATGGTATTGGCAACAGGGGATGACATGGTAGGGGACCTACAGATCGGTAGCCATCTGGGGGA